TAAAAGATTTAGGAAACCGAAATAAACTCATCAAATAAATAGGAATCGCTTGAGCAATAGATTGGATCATAATGGCTTTACCAGCAATCGAAAACAGCTTATTATTCCACTTCTTGATTATCTGCTCTAACCTCTCCTTAATATATCTAACCTCCCGAGTCCTGGACTTCCCAATCATTATCGGAAGGCCCAAATATCTATCCTTTTCCATAATCCTGTCAACTCCTAAAAATTGCATAATTTCCTGTTGCCTTCCTTGAGGAGTATTGGAACTAAAAAGTACTGAAGATTTATCAATGTTGATTTGTTGCCCAGAAGCTTCTTCGAAACTCCGTAAAATACTCACAATCTTCGAACAATCACCCAAACAAGCTCGAAGAAACAAAATGCTGTCATCCGCAAAAAAAAAAAATGCGAGATACTTGGTGCCATTCTAGCCACTGTAGTCCCCTGGATAGATCCTTCACTTTCTGCTGCATCAATCATTCGAGACAAACCTTCCATACACAAGAGAAAAAGATATAGAGACAATGGATCTCCTTGTCGAAGACCTCTCGATGGGACAAAACTATCACAAATATTGCCATTAACATTCACTGAATAAATAACACTACGAACACAGGCCATTACTAGCTTAATCCATCTTAATGAAAAACCCATCCGCCCCATACAAGCCTCCAAATAATCCCACTCTACCCGATCGTATGCCTTACTTAAGTCCAGCTTCAATGCCATATGCCTTTTCCTACCAGTTCTTTTATTTTTCATAAAATGCACAGTCTCAAAAGCTATCATTGCATTATCAAATATCATGCGTTCAGGGACGAAAGCGTTCTATTTCTCACCAATAATAGCAGGAAAAATCAATTTAAGACGATTAGTAAGAGCCTTTGTAATGATCTTAAATACCACGTTATATAAACTAATTGGCCTATACTCCTTCACTGACATAGGTGAACTATTTTTCGGTATCAAAACAATATTAGAGTGGTTTATATCAGGAAAAGGCTTGTCATTATTAAGAAAGTCTAAAGCCATTAATACCACATCCTTACCGATAATATGCCAAGCCTTCTGATAAAACGCTGGAGTCATACCATCTGGCCCTGGCGCTTTAGCATCATCCATTTGAAAAGCAGCTACTCGAATCTCCTCCTCTGTAAACACAGCATCTAAAACTTCACCCATCGACTCATCCAACCTCAAATCCATATTCTCCAACACTCTGTCAATAGCCTCGACTCGCGGATTGGTGGAAGAAAAAATATTCCGAAAATATTCTGATATAATTCCCTCAATTTGTTTAGCATCAGAATCCCACCGCCCTTCATTATCCATAATTCTCGCAATCAGCTTCCGGTTCCTCCTTCATGTTGCAACCGAGTGAAAGTAACGAGTATTACGATCACCTGCCTTAAGCCACAAAGCATTCGAACGTTGTCTCCACATCACTTCTTCTTGTTTATAAAGCATTTCAAGTTCCTGCTTGCACCTATCGAATTCTCCATCTTCACCCGAAACTCCTTTAGCAAAAACCTCTTCGAACCGCTTCTTCTTTTGCCTAATTTGATGTTGTACATTGCCAAAAACCCCTCGATCACATCTCCTTAACGCCTCACCGCATCAAGCTATCTTCTCCTTAATATCCGAACCAGCCGCTGCAACCCATGAATCAGCAACCACTGACTCGAATTCATTATGCATAGTCCACATATTTTCGAACCTAAAAGGCTTATCTCGAACAACCTGCTCAAAAGGCATAGCCGATATCGAAAGAAACAAAGGTAAATGATCCGAACCTGTGGTAACTATATGTCTTTCAACGGATCCTGCAAATAAGTTCCACCAAGTTGTCGTTGCAAAGCTCCTATCTAAACGTTCGAAAACCAATTCACCCTGTATACTCTTACTCCATGTCATCATCGAACCCAAAACAGGCAATTCATGAAAGCCACACTCCAAAATTACCTCATTAAAAGTTGCCATTTGGTTAGAAGGTCTCAATGCACCCCCTCTTTCTCTGCCAAAGATCGAATTTCGTTAAAATCACCCGCACATAGCCATGGTAATGAAGATTGGCTATTCAAACGACGCAATAAACTCTAGGATTCATGTCGACTAGCTGTCTCAGGCCTCCCATAGAATCCCATAAATCTCCATACAGAAGCATTTGAACTAATTTGCACATCAATATGAGAAATGGAAAAAGAAAGTAAAGAAACATTTAACTCATTTAGCCATAATAAAGCTAAACCACCTGCTCTACCAATACTATCAACACAAAAACACGAATCATAACCCAAACGTGAGCGGATCCACTCCATCTCACTAGCTTTACGCTTAGTTTCCGAAAGAAATAACAAAGGAGGCTTATTACAATTATTCAATAAAGAAGATAAATGAAAAACTGACCGAGGAGCCCCTAAGCCTCAGCAGTTCCAAACAAAACAATTCATTGCTCCCGGCCGGGATGGATCTCATCTGCCATCCCTGCCGATACATAAGAAGAAACATTAATAACAGCATCATCATTAGCTTGCATTCTAGGTTGTACAGCATCCTTTGAAGTGCCACTATCATCCTCATGCTCCCTTGACTTCTTCGCAGCACTTGGCCCATTCATATCCAAAATCCCATCTCTATTTCCTCTTTTAGAGCCCAATTTTGCATTACCTTCTAAAGCACGAGCTGCAGGTTTCCATTTCCTTATCTGCCTAGTTTGAGCAGAACCTGTAGCGCTGAAAACAAAGCCATCCTCCTTATTTAAATTTTCCACCACCTGTTCCAACGGAATATAATCTTCAGCATGATGTATTGCACCAATTTTATCCACATTTCGTTGGCCCAACAACCCTTCATTATTCATATCCGTTTTACTACGCAACAAACTATGCCCCATAATTGCTTGGCCCAAAACGGATGGCCCAACTCCTGGTATATATTGGGCCGAATCTAGAACAGAAAATCTTCCTGACTCCACCAATGCAGTTGACTTTTTCAATCTCTCCCCTTCCTCAAAATCAGGAGATTCTCCTACCTCCTCAATCAGTTGAGGATCAATCGTAGCAGCCATTCTCGGATAAGTATCCACCAACCTCCTCGAAGTGCGCCTCTCCCTATGAACTGAATCTCCATCACTTATCTCAATGCGTTCCACGTTGGCATTTTCATCAACAACCTCCTTGATTTTCGATAAGATATCTCCTTGCAAGACAAGATTGGTACCAACCCTCTTCCCCTACGACATAGGACTCTTAGCTCCACCGCCGCCGCCGCCAATCGCCCGCCCGCCTCTGTTACCACCACCATAATTCGCAGAACTGGCTCCATCTCCTTGTCACAAATTTCTCCCATTCATCGGAGACCGATTACCCATTGGCAGACCTCCCGACGCCGCCATTAAAGCTTTGGATGAACCAGCCGCCCTTGAAAACCTTGACTTCAATCGCATACTTCCCTCTACCTCCTCTTCAGTATCAGACCACTCCGCTTTCAACCATGGAGAATACCTTCTAACCACCTGGCCCTTGGTACGTCTCATAATTGACGCAGTGGGACAATCACTTTCTTGATGATCCAATCAACCACAGACATAACAAAAATCAGGGAGCTTTTCATATCGAAATTTAACTTCAATGTCTCCGGTAGGCAATGAAACCGATGAAGAACTCCTCAAAGGCCTACTGGTATTTATCTCAATCCTTACTCGCAAATAGCTACCCCAATTACGATTAACTTCCAACACGGACCCAATCGGTTCACCAATCGCGATCCCAACTCTTTCCGTCATTAATCGAATAGGCAAATAATGAATCTGCACCCAGAAAGGACACCAATCTAAGCATACGTCCTCAATCCTTTGGTACCCATCATACTCCTGTAGCAATAACAAAGAATGACTGAAAGACCAAGGTTGTGCCCCAAATGCTTTATCCTTGTCTACCTCCTCCGCAAACTCAAAGCAAAAAGTCTTATCAGCCACTTCTCTCACCGATAAACCCCTCTCAAGCCGCCATGCTTTTACCATTGCATTACGTAACCCTTCTACATTCGGAGATCGTTTTGCCAGAGATTTCCCAGTAGACAGAAACCGCCCTCTGCCTCAGCCTCCTCAATCACATCCTCAGCAAGAACGACAACATGCTCCTCTTCCTCATCCTGAATTGATAGCTTAGAAAAACTCCCCTCCATAGTAGAAAAACAATAAAACAGAAGAACCAACAAAAACTAGAATGTAAGCGAAAATCCTTAAGAAAACAATCTAAGGAAGGAAACTCGCAATAAGTAAGGTGAAACCCGCACTAACCAAGACTATTAGACGATAGAAAATTCATTCCCAAAAATAAATTGTTGTCGATGTGATTGAAACTTTTAATACTGTACTATTACTTGATTGCTATAAATTATTACTGATTTAATTTTGACCTATTTCATAAAGTAATTTTTTTAGGGGTAATGCTACACAATCCGCCAATGTGACTCGCAAAATGTCCCGCCTGACGTGGAATTGAAAAAAAGTTATCATAATTTCTAAAACCCTATTTAATAATACCTTAAAATCAAGGGATTTACCCTACAAACCCTCTTTATTTATAACTAAAAGCTAAATCTGGAATTAATTTGTTACTTTAATTATTATGCGAGATAACTAGTGGTAAAATCAGGCGAGTCAAAAAGTATTTTCCCTTTTTAGAAAATATTTCATAAAGTAACTTAATTGTTGATTGATGACTATAATTACAATGATGTAAATTAATTATAATATCTAATTTAATTTTTTTATAGTATTAGAAATCAAATTATACTATTTATGGAAAGTGAATAATTATTGATAGAATAGTGTTTTAGTTTATTATGTAAATTAATTATAATTAATTTAAATTTTACCAGTAACTTTATGTAGGAAATTAATTGAGTAAAATCATTATTGATCATTTTGAAATATGCTAAGAGTATATATTAATTTTAATGTATCCTAATGTATGGCTATTTATAAACCGATGGCTCTGGCAAACGAAGCAAGGGAAAGATCTGGAGAGGAGGATGATAACTTGGCTCGAAGCACCAAGAAGGTTAAGGCAGCAGAACCTGTTGTAGTGGAATCAGGACAGGCCACACCTATTGGGGATGGGGATCAACAGCCCTTCCCTCGTCTTTCTTTTAGGGATGCGGCCCTGGGTTCTCAAAATCGTGGGATGTATGATGAGTTGGGTTCTCTTGAATCTGATGAAGGTTTGATCCATGTTTCCACTCATGGCGGGTGGCCGAAGATCTCTTTGTCGGAGAGGTTCAAGTCGCACATTCGGAGACAATGGGAACGATGTATCATTGTGAAACTTTTGGGGAGATCTGTTTCTTTTAGAGTTCTCAACGAAAAAATACATAAGATGTGGAATCCGAAAGGAGAGATGAGTTTGGTGGATCTTGGAATGGGGTATTTCCTTGTGCGTTTTGCTTCCACTGATGATCTCGCCTTTGCTATGGAAGAAGGTCCTTGGACTATCTTCGGCCATTATTTAACAGTGAGACCTTGGGTACCGGATTTTAATCCCAGTACTGCTACCATTGACTCCACCATGGTTTGGGTTAGATTCCCAGGTCTTCCTATGGAATACTACCATCCGAGACTTTTGATGGCATTGGGGAATACTGTTGGTAAAGCCGTGAGTGCTTATATCAATACCAGACACGCTTCGAGGGGTCGATTTGCCAGGGTTTGCGTTGAGGTTAATTTCAATGATCCCCTAGTTCCAAAAGTGTTTTTTGAGGATCGGTGGTTGAGCGTTGAATATGAAGGGCTCCCCATGATTTGTTTCAAATGTGGCAGGCAAGGGCATAAGGGCATTTGCCCTTATTTTCCTCATGAGGATGATGAATCGGAAAAGCAGAACGTTGAGGGTGGAGTTGCCATGGCAGAAGACAATGTGCAGGTGCAGCATAAGCAAGTGAATGAGCACGCAGGTGATTTTGGCCCGTGGATGATTGCAGAATCACGTAAAACACGTAGGAATGCTTAGATTAATCCCGGGAATAAGGGGATTGCTCATCAAAATGAAAACCTTATTAATGGATCACGATTTGCAGCTTTATCTCCGGGTGATGATATGAATGAGAGGGTTGACATTGAGCTGGAGCAGGTGAGGGAGAATGTTGTTGAGGCTTGGGCCAAGGGAGTTGGTATGGGCTCGAATATGCCTCATGATGGAGCTAAAAGGGCCCAGGTTAATTACAAGGCCCAATTTAGATCTAAAGCCCATGGAGCAGTGACAACTAATGCAGCACCTCAAGGGGCTCGGGTTCACCAAGTTGCTTCTTCCTCAAAAAATACTAACGAGGATTTAAGTGTTGATAACCGGGGAAAACAGGCAAGAGGTGTCGAGGACAGGCTTGATGTGAATTTACGATCGGGTGGTGTTGAGCGGTGTGTGGGGATGGAGAGGAATGAGGTTTCGGCCTTTCAATCTTCGAAATCAGCCTTGGGTATGCAAGATACAGATATTAGGTTTCATAAACTACCTGATGGTATTTTGCATTCTACGGTGGTACAGGAAACTCAATTTTTTGATGGAACGCCTGGTTTGGCTATTGGTCAAGATAATATGGTCTTGGAATCATCTCCTATCTCCTCTCCTAATGAGTCTCATTTTATGGAACAGTAGAGGAGCGGGAGGTAAGGCTTTTTTGCGGCATGCAAAGGACTTGTTACGGGCTCAGAAGCCGACTTGTTTCGTTCTTGTTGAGCCGAGGATATCTGGTAATAATGCTAGGAGAGTTGTGAGACGGTTGGGGTTTTCGAAGTTCCATATAGCGGATCCGGTAGGATATGCAGGTGGTATATGGATGTGCTGGGATAATGGTGCAGTGGACATTGAGATAATTTCTTCCTCACCTCAGGTGATTCATAGTATAGTGAGAAGACCTAATGCTGTAGAATTTCTTCTTACAGCGGTGTATGCGAGCCCGGTGTTGGAAACTAGACGCAATTTGTGGAAATCTCTAGAAGCTTTTGCGGAAAATGTGAGCTTGCCTTGGGTAGTAGTTGGGGATTTCAATGATGTTTTACATAGTGGTGAGAAATATGGTGGTAATCAACCATCGTTGGGAAGGTGCAATGCATTTAATAGTATGATTACGTATTGTGGTTTGATTGATTTAGGCTTTAAAGGGCCTTCTTTCACATGGTGTAATAAGAGGAATGGTGTAGCGAGAATTCAAAAAAGATTGGATAGGGTTTTTTCAAATGCTGAGTGGCGGCTTTTATTTCCTGAAGCTGAAGTTCGTCACCTCCCTCGTCTTCATTCAGATCATTGTCCAGTACTATTACAGTGTGATCCGGGATTTCCTTTGAATAACTCGAATAGACCATTTCGCTTTCAGGCTATGTGGCTTATGGTGGATGGGTTCTATGACTTGATTGGAAAGTTTTGGGCTCATTCACATGGGGATATTGAAGACAAATTGGCGAATGTGGCGGAATTGTTGAGGGAATGGAATAAGGAGTCCTTTGGGAACATTTTTGAACGTAAGAAGGAGTTGAGAGCTCGCATTTGTGGAGTGCAGCGTGCCTTGGCTGCATATCGTTCTCATCAACTTGAACTTTTGGAGGATAATTTAGTTAGAGAGTATAATGTGATTCTTAAACAAGAGGAGATTTTTTGGGAGCAAAAGTCTCGTGTGCAGTGGATTAAACATGGGGAAAGAAATACCCGTTTCTTTCATCTTTCGACAATTTGTCGGAGGAGGAGGAATCGGGTTACAATGTTGCGAGGGGAGGATGGGAACTAGGTTTCGGATCCTGGTGAGCTTAAAGACATGGTTATTAATTTTTATAAGGATTTATATAGTGTGGATTCTGCACATCGTGAACTTTTGATCACAAGAGAACACCCAAGCTTATCGGATGAGGAGAAGTTAGAGTTGGCAAAGGATATAAGGCCATATGAGATTCGCTCAGCCCTTTTTCAAATGAAACCTTGGAAAGCACCTGGAGTGGACGGTTTTCATGCTGGGTTTTATTAGGAGTGTTGGGATATAGTGGGGGATTCTTTGATTACTTTGGTTCAACAGGCTTTTTCTTCTGGGGCGTTTAATGAGCATCTAAGCCGCACCTTATTGGTTTTGATTCCAAAAGTCGCGAACCCAGAGTATACGAAGCAATTTCGTCCCATAAGTTTATGTACGGTCACTTACAAGCTAATTACCAAGGTGCTGGTAAATCGCTTGAGACCTCATTTGGCTACTCTGGTGGCTCCTTTCCAGTCTAGCTTTATTCCAAAGCGTCAAGCAGCGGATGATATCTTTATTGCACAGGAAATGATACATTCCATTAAGAAGACTAAGAGTAAGAATGGATTGATGGCTATAAAAATTGACCTCGAGAAAGCTTATGATAGGGTTCGTTAGGACTTTCTTAAAGAAACTCTTATTTTCTTTGGTTTCTCGGATAATTGGGTGACCTTAATTATGTTTTGTGTGGAGAGCTCGCCTATGTCTGTTTTATGGAATGGAGAAAAGACTGAATATTTTTCTCCGGGGCGGGGTCTTCGTTAGGGAGATCCCCTTTCCCCGTATTTATTTGTGTTTTGTATGGAGCGTTTGAGACATTTGATCTTGGATGCAGTCTCTTCTGGCAAGTGGAAACCGATCTCCATGGGACGAGGTGGACCGACCATTTCTCATATGTTTTTTTGCAGATGATTTATTTCTTTTTGGCCGTGCGACGGTTGCTCAAGTAAATGTGATTAAAGCTGTGTTGGATACTTTCTGTATGTCTTCGGGGGCGAAAATGAGTTTAGATAAATCTTACATGTTTATTTCTCCACATGCTTCCACTTGTAATGCTAGATTGGTAAGCCGTTGTTTGGGAATCAGGCTGTCTTCTAATTTGGGAAAGTATCTTGGGATCCCTTTGATCAATGGTAGAGTGGTGAAAGGTACTTATAGGGAGTTGGTTGATAAAGTAAGCTCTAGACTTAGTGGGTGGAAGACTAAATGCTTGAGTTTAGCCGATAGAGCTACGTTAGTTGCTTCAGTCACTTCGGTTATTCCTACTTGTACCATGCTTACTACTAAACTGCCACAAAATGTTTGTACCCAGATGGATATGTTGAATAGAAGATTTCTCTGGGGGGGTTCGGAGTCTAAGCGTGCCCTACACCTAGTTAATTGGGAGACCGTTTGTACTCCTAAGAAATTAGGTGGGCTTGGACTTCGTCAGATGGAGCTACATAATAGTGTCCTGCTTCAAAAACTGTATGGAGATTTCTTACAGAACCTGATAGTTTGTGGGTACGTGTTTTAAGGGCAAAATATAATGTTCAGGGAGATCTATTGCTTTTGTGCATAATGTTCATGGCTCTACTAGATTTAATTGGTCTCATACATGGAGAAGTATGATTGGGGCGTTGAGAGTGTTATCTAAGGGGCTTGTGAAAAGAATTGGGGATGGTTCTTTGACAAGGTTTTGGGTTGATAAATGGCTTGATAAGCCTATTGTTGAGTACTTGGAGTCTGTTCCTTCTTTTGTTGATGGGAGTACCATGGTTAGTGATTTTATTGTGGATAAGGCTTGGAATGTTAACATGGTTTTTGCACAAGTGCCTTTGCAGGTTGCGATGAAAATTATGGGATATCCTTTGTCTCGGTTTGGAATTTTAACGGATACCTATATATGGGAGCCTTGCTCGAATGGTAGTTTCACTACTGCCTCTGCGTACCAGCTTATGCTACACGAGATGAATGTTTTAGAACAGGACTTGCGGTGGCTTTGGCGTCTTGCATTGCCGGCTAGATGGATTTATCTCTTATGGCTAGTATGGAAAGGGAGATTGGTGACAAATTCATTTCGTGCTTCATGGGGTGTCGGTATTGCAGCTAGTTGCCCTTTGAGTGAATATCCAGTGGAGGATGTTATCCATGTGCTTCGTGATTGTTCTTATCCAGTTACAATTTGGAAACAATTGGTTCCTAGCCAAAATTGGAGTTCTTTTTATGGCTGGGATTTGACGGAGTGGTTGTTGAACAATTTGGACATTAAGAAAGGAGAAGCTCGGTCAGTTACAATATTTGCTACAGTTTTGTGGCGAATTTGGACTCAACGCTGTAACTATATTTTTGAGCCGGATGATAGCAGTGTTTCAGAGCAGGATATGATACGTAATATATGTTTCACTTCACGTGAGATTCTAGAGGCATGGAGTAAGCCACCATCTGCGGTTTCAGTTCCTAAAATGATTCATTGGTGCCCTCCACCTGCTTTGAAAGTTAAAGTCAACACGGATGGTGCTTCGAGGGGTAATTCAGGTGTTGCAGGTGCCGGCGGGGTAATTAGAGATGCTGGTGGGAGTTGGCTGGTGGGTTTTGCGGCTCATTTGGGGACAGCTTCTAACATGGCTGCTGAGCTTCATGCTCTTAGGATGGGATTACTTCTGGCCTAGGATGAGGGTTTCCGTGAGGTAATTTGTGAGGTCGACGCAATGGTAATTCTTGAGCTTCCTAAGTCTGCAAATGTCTCCCTTCATCCGTTGGGCGCTTTGATTATTGATATAAGGGAGATTCTGGCGCGAAATTGGGATTGCATTTATCAACATACGTTAAGGGAGGGGAATTTTTGTGCTGACTTGATGTCTAAGATGGGTTGTGAACTTGATAATGATTTCCAGATTTTTTGTTCCCCACCAGAGTCGGTTCTTGATGTGCTAGGTGCGGATGCGAGGGGAGTTGCCTTTCCCCGGGGTTTTAATGTAACTTAGCTTTGTTTCTATTTCGGTTTTAACCAAAAAAAATGTATGGCTATTTTAAATAAAATTCAAAAACTGCATCAAGTATTTTTTTTTTTTTTGAAGAAAAAACCGCATCAAGTTAATCTTACTATCAATTTGTAATATAAGATACCCATAATACATTGAAGTTTGAATTTTGAACCTTCTAAAAATGTATCCGATAATTGGCAATTAGTTCTTTACAAAAATATGAAGCTTCCTTTTGGCTTACTTAATTTGCTTCGGAGTTTAATCACATACTGGTTTTTATTTTGTTATTTGCACAATGAGAATTGAATTATATACTATCAATGTCTAAATAGGTCAAGTAATAATTATCAATTGATTTATAATATCATGATTAGTTAGTATTGAATTTAAGTCGAAAGTAAATGATATATTCAAGATTTTTACGAACTAAAATTGTAGTGTTAATATCAAAGTTGAATTTGGAATGGCCTGCTTCCCATCTTGAATTGGAGCCTTTTTTGATTTCATTCACTGCTAACAAACAGAATAAACAATCAATCTAGACTTCAAGTTTATCAACATTGTATCTAAGAGCTACTTGCAATCCAAGATGAATTCCAAATACCTTGGCATGGAGTGCACAATTGGTGTGGGAGTCATGTTTGATGGCTGAGCAGATGATTTTTCCAGTCGAATCTCTGATCGCCACCCCAAGGTTTGAATGGTCAGTCGCTTGATGATAAGTGCAATAATTTACACTTTTTAGAGCTGATTTAGAATATATTTTGAGTATTAATCTTGCACTTTTTATAGTTTTTTATGATAAATTCTCACATTTGTGTTTTTAGGCTTGTAGGTTAATTTTGGAGTAATTTTGGGAGAAAAATCATAACTTTTGATCTAGATATCGGATTAAGGCGATTCGAGCACTGTTGGAAAGCTGACTTGAAAATCTACAACTTTCGTGCAGAACTCGAGAGTTAAAAATGTCATTTGGATGAACGAAATTACCCTTGAAGTCATCGTACGGACACTGTACGGACATCTAAGGAAATTCCAAATTTTGGTTTTCATTATCTCCCAAATATCAATCCTAATGGGTATGACTAAGTCAAATACCATGTTTCATATTTTTATTAGGATTTTAGAACCGTTTTATTAATTATTTATTTTTCCTAGTTACTTATGGATTAGGTTTGAGCCCCTATATAAAGAGAGGCTTTGTACTCAGTTTTAGATACGGAGACAGATATACAGAATTCTCTTTTACTTTCTTGACGACATCTTAACAGAGTTTTTCTTCCTTCTTATGTTCTTTCTTTATTTTAATTTTAATAATAGTTCATGTTTTTATTTCCATGAGCATGAGTAGCTAAATCCCTAATTAGGGTTAGGGTGTAGCCAATTGGGGATTAATATTTGATTTTATGTTTTGAATTGATCTTTTTAAGTTGGATTTGTTTTTCTTGTTCTTCATACAAATTATATGCTTGCCCATCATATAGTTTATCTTAGGGATTGTGTAATGTACTGACGGGTAAATAATAATCTATTGCACTAGGATAACAAACAGGTTAGACTAGATCAGACATGAATCTAGGCTTATTTGATAGATTATTTATTACTTGTTTTTAATGAATCTAGTTAATTAGGTTTACATCGACATATAATAAATTTGATTAATTAGATATTCCTGTGGAGACTTGACGGAGCGCATAAGTGAATTAGAGTATTCCTATTTCAACTTTGCATCAATTCAATTCATAGGTTAATTATTGATTTTCCAATTAGGTGAAACCTGAAACCCTAAGCTTTCCAATTATTGTCTTAACATCTTATTTAATTTTCTGCTTTTATAATTTCATTGTTTTTAGTTTTAAATTATTTGATAACTCTCAAATTTTCTTCTCTTGATAGAATTAATTGCAATAGAAATTTCTTGTTCCTTGTGGGTTTGGCTCCTGGAATACTCTAGGATTTATTACTTCAACTGACTCTATACACTTGCAGATTTGGTTCATCACTTGAACAAAAGAAACATCTGTATTCAATCTCAAAACATTTGAAAAAGGGGGAATCCAATTAGGCACTGATACATGCTGGTTGGAGGCAACAGAAGGGGAGGAATTTGGAAGAGTTTGTAAAGCTCGATGAACCAATGCACGTGGAAGATAACATCTGGAATCAAAAACACTTTTATTTCTATTGTACCACATCAAGAAGAAAATAAAATTAAAAAGCAAAGAACGAATAGAATTGAGAAGCCTTTTGTTTAGGCTTTATAATCAAGGTAGTAATATATTAGCGATATCAAATCAAACCAGTAACAAAATTGATAGCACCTCCTTCTATAAGTTTAGGTTTTATAATCAAGGTAGTAATATATTAGCGATATCAAATCAAACCGGCAACAACATTGATAGCACTTCCTCCTATAACGAATTGGTCTTCTTTATTTATCAACGATCATCATTTCACAATATCAACACCAAAAAAAAAACTTGATAAAATAATCGAAAAAAAAATCGATCAACCCCCTAAAAATAGGGATAGAGAATTGAAACAAACTTTCAAAACTTCAAAACCCAATATGACATATTGAAAAGCAAGCATATTTATATTAGTTGAGGAAAGTATTTGTAATTCAAAATTAAATAGCATTAATGATGCTAATTGATTTTAATTAGATCAAAATATTCAAATCTATCAATCAATCAATCAATCTAATACTCCATCCGTTTCAAAATAATTGTCGTTTTTTGGATGAATCTAGTTTTATTTAAGACCAGATTCATCCAAAAAACGACAGTTATTTTGGAACGAAGGGAGTATATAATATATCTAAATTGGACACATGGCATTCAGGGAGACATGCCACTTGTCAGAAGGAGGTGGCCTCAATAATTGATAACATTACTTTTTTCCAACTTATGTATTAATATAATATATATATATATTTATATAGGATTTATATATATAATACACCGTCGCCATCAGGCATTTGGCCTGGTGGTAGAATACCGGACTCTTAGTTCCAGTCTACATGGATCATGATGTTTTGGGTTCAACTCTCATGGAATGTGAGTTTAGTTTGTAGTTTATTTATTTGTGTTATTGTGTATTTGGTTTGTAGGTAATTTATTTATGGTATAGTTTCTAGGATAGATGATATTAGGAATTTGGAAACCTTGTTTGATTTTTGTATTCAATTTGTAAATAGGGAAGCCAATGTATTTGCACATTCTCTAGCTAAAGATTGAGCTGGATAACGTGTGGTGCGGGACTATTTCTCCCGGCGTTTGTAATCTCTAATTATTGATTAATGAATTATTTGCTCAAAAAATATATAATCACCGTCAGTGGAGTTTATCAGACTACACATGCGAGGGTTAAGATTGACATGTGTCCTTTAGGGAATAGTGTTGAATTTTAAAAACAAAACTAATTTTGAAAATGGGTATGTATCAACTCCTCACCCCGTTTGTGAGTACAAAATTTACACTGTAAATGTATCAAATAATTATCCTTTGATATATATATATATATATATATATATATATGGTTTGATTGAGAATACGAAAAGATATCTGATATGTGATTGTAATGAGATTTCTGATTATTGTGTTCTTTTATACATTCGATCGTTTGTGTTCTTTATCTATTAGCGTATATTCCCTAAAAATCAGAAAGATTTCAATTAAGAAAAACAAAATGAATTTTGCTACAGAGCCCGCCAACTTAACCCGCAAAGAGTCACACCTGACGTGTCATTAGAAAACTCACTATAATTTCTAAAACTCTACTCCCTCTTATCCATTTTAAGTGTCACAAATCAAGTTTTGGTTTATTTCATAATAAGTGTCACACTTATAAAACCAATACAATTTGTAGTATTTTTACCATATATACCCCTAATTAATGGGGAGTTAGGGAGAGAGAAGATAAGTAATTAATAAAAAGGTTGGAGTGTTTAGTTCATTTAAAATATTTTTTTTACTAAATTTAAGGTGAGTTAATTATTGTCTTAATATGTGTGATATTCCTAATTTGACACTTATTCTGGATCGGAGGGAGTATTCGATAATAGCCTAAATCAAGGGATTTACCCTGCAAACTCTCCTTATTTATAATTAGGGACTAAACCAAAAATTAAGTTGTTGTCTTAATTATTGGGCGGGATAACTGGAGAAATTATTAGGTGGGACGGACCCACCACGTCATCCATGGGACTAACCAATGGAATCTTGCCATGTCAAATGACTTCCTTAAATTTAGACACGATTTTAACCCAAGATTTAGGCCATTTTTAAAATAAATCCCCTATAAAGGGTAAGTCCCCAAATTTGAGATATTATTGGGATAGGATTTTAGAAAATTGATGAGTTGTCTTAATATCATTGGTTGATCCCATAGATGACATGGTGAGTCCGTCCCACCTAATAATTTATCGGATAACTGACAGTAAAATCAGATGAGTAAAAAAGTATTTTTGAGAGAAAATACCCCAACCCTGATCTCTAAATCATTGGAGTAGCATTTTGTTGATGAAGGTGATGTCATTAACCTAAATATATTATTATAAATATATGTAAGAGGATCTTTATGTAGCAAAAATAATTAATAAATTTTGCAATTATAATTAATAATGGGATTTATTAACTTAAATCAAAGAAGATTCACCCCTTATCTCCATGCTTAGAGATGAATGATCTATGCACATCCACGTAATAGAACGCACTAATTATTAAAACAGAAATTCAATAGAAAAAGAAATATATTGACATGGGTCCGACGTGCATACCCACGTGCCAGTCCCCACACAAAAGCTTCTGGTGAACTTCATTTGGACTTTTACTCTTTTTTTTTTTTTTTTTTTACTTTTAACAAAAAATAATAGTAATTATCATAAAAAAGGAAAATCAAAGCCAAAAAGCGGGGCCCGTCACCGTAAGATCAGCACTCTGTACACGCGTCTGTTTGCGATCACAATTTTTCTCCAAAGATGGGTCCCAACAGGCTTT